CGTTGTTATCCATCAACTGGCATAAGTAATCCGATGATTTGAAAGGTCTTTGCAGAACATGCCTGAAGGAATGAGCGTGATCACGAGCTACTAACTTCAGATTGGGCAAGAGTGCATCTGCAGTATCACTTTCAATCTGAAGGGCGCGACGCCCGCGGTTCACATTGCTAGCCGCAATCTCATTTGCCGCGGAATCAGAGAGAACCACTTCAATAGACTCTCTGATGTGTTGATAAAGGTCTGTATCCAGCTCAGGAGTCGGTCCCTCATACCGCCTGGGTGGGTTCTGGAACTTGGTGCAAAAGTTCTGCAGCACCGCGCGTGTCCCCCTGGCCTCAACTGTTTACTTTGAAAGATACAATGACGACGAACAACAATAAGTATATAAACGCAAAGGCACTTGAGTAATAATGAGAAGGAACAGTGCAAAGGAAGCAACAAGACAAAGAAACACACACACAACAAATCAAATAATTACAGAAACAGAGCTCAACCATTGTGCAACCAAATAACGATGTCTCCTGTGCTTTCACCATAGCCTCTGATCATGCCGATGATGCCATAGCCGATCTGAAATGAGTCCTGAGTAGCCGAGTTCCCCGAAAGTAGCCGAGTTCCCTGAAAGCAAATTTAAAATTAACAGCAACATGACTTTTAAATCCCAGGATCCGTAACACCTCCGAAGCGCACCAGGAGTCTTTGGCGTCTCCCATCGCGGGCTATGGAAATCGTGGGGCATTTTCGTAGAAAGTCCCTATCCTTCTGAATGATGGTTTCGTTCAGGCACCAGGCCATCAAGGAGACTTTGTCTGAGCATTGGCCATCCAAACAACCTCGGCTGACAAGCATTGCATCTGATTGGAACCATTATAATTTAAGTCAAAATTTGTCAACGGACAAAATCATCGAAATATCAAAAAGCAATTTTTGTGACGTGTCTCCTCGTAGCGACGATCCTTGCTGCAGCTTCTTGAACAGGTCCTCAAACTCGGAGAGGGAAGGGCCACATTCATAACTTTCGCTAATGCCAAGGAACTTCTTGCAAGCCGCCACATGTTGTTGCGATTCTTGGTGCTTGGTCAAGTACCACGCGCGAAACTTGTCCACTAGACCAGCAGTTCCCAATGCCCATTCGCTCATAGTATTTGCCTTATTGCATGGTAAGCATCCGCACCCCTTCTTTGTCCCCAGTACCCATGACTGCTTGGCCATCTTCTCGGAGGCAGCAGTAGGGTACACAAAGTCTTTGGGCAAGCAACTGCCAACCAAAAACTTGCTTTCCCAGGCTTTGCGCCTCCGGATCCAAAGTTCTTTGAACTTCTTCCGGAGCTCAGCCGTCTCGTTCGTGACACCCATCGTCTTGATGGGCTTGAGCTTGGACTTCTGTTTCTTACTCTTTGCCGTTTCCTCCTCGTCATAGACATCATCAGCGTCAGATCCGGCCACCCTTTCGTCAGCGACCTTGTCGAAGTCGAGGGAATCAAGGTCCATCGCGACGAGGAGGACAAAGATGATGGTAGTTTGCCAACTTTGAACTCTTATCCTGCAAGAAACCCTTGATGATCCCTCCCTGTTAGGCACAAGCTAGGCACATAATCTCATTGTTCGGCACATGTGCCTAGGTTGTGCCTAAAAAGCTAGGCACATATAACTCCTTGTTCCTAAGGCCTTCCCAAAAACTATAGGCACTTATAGCCCCATTGTTAGGCACATGTGCCTAGGTTGTACCGAAAAAGCTAGGCGCATTATAACTGTTTGTTCCTAAACCCCTCCCAAAATTCACTGAAAGCTTTCAATCCTTAAATGCAACTTGTCAATAATTAGCAGAGTGTATGACTGTAATTTCCAACAAGAATCATCGTCGATGTAAGTTCTCAAATACGAATCTTTTCGTATACTCACGTTGGCAAATTTGGGCCTCAATAGGCTTCGGTGATGCAGGGAAATTGGTGCGGCGGCATCAATTGATAAAAGCTTTTGGAAGCACACCGCAAACACACAACTTTTCAAACCAGGATACAGCGCGTGCCAATGCCACTATTTCTGAACGCACATACACACTAGCTTGTGAGCGAAGCCCAGTATAATGAGAAGATTGGGCCTAAATAAGATGCAATTCAAGATCACTGATTTCCTGTTAAATGCTAGCTGCTCACAAAAATGACTCAGACTCAAAACATTTAGAATTGCAACGGCAAACTTAGCCACTGAATCACCCTGAAAGATTCAGGCAAATCTGGGCCAAAGGCCTCTGAATCACCCATATCGATCCGGGCAAGGCTGGGTCAGGGCCCCTGAATCACCCGATGCTGAGTCGGGCAAGCCCGGGCCAGTAACCACAGAATCACCCGGACCAATTTGGGCAAGCCAGGGCCTGAGACCACAGAATCACCTGAAGCTAATCTGGGCAAGCCAGGGCCAGAGCCCAAAAATCACGACGATCATGATCATGCGAAGACGGCAGCGATGAATCACAGCATGATCAGCAGCGATCCAGCCAAGCCATGGCTCATGGCAATACAATTCAATCCGGATGCTGCATAAAAACTAGTTAATGCCAAGGATTTTAAAGGCAACAACTAGAATATAATCCAATTGTGTGTTTTTAAGTAATATGCTTGGAAAACCAACAAGTTAAAAGAGGCAGCGGTAGATGCACATGTCTGCAACATCTGAGCCTGCTCCTTGAAATGATTCTTACCCGCGTTTGCATCTTTGCAGCCTACACTTTAAACAACTGAACTCGACGATCGGTGGCACCAAAAGAACAAATCGCAACACAATTCTTCCAAATGGTCGCTAAAAAGGTTTTATTTTTCTATTAGTTCTTATTTATCAACTTGTTTTTTAAGTTTTGAAAAGCGGACTGTCAAATCAATGTTTCAAAAGCTGGTCAGAAGCCAAAAAATGGTGAATTGAGGATCAATGGCAAAATCAATTAAAACATTGAACTCCAGTTTGGGTTCCAAAAATGTCATTGACCAAGTGCGTGTTGATTTTCATAATATCGAATGTGAACAGGAAAGCATCATCACCTGAAACATGCTTTCATGTTTCCAAGGACATCTGTCAAAGTTGGCAATCTGTCAAGAGCAACCAGAGCAACCGCTAAACATCAGCAAGAAGAGGCCTTGGGTATCAAGCCCGGTCAAACCTTGGAGCCGTTTTCCACTGTGTTTTTTTGGCCAAAGGGTTGCTGACACGCAGTGACGAAAAGCTTTCCTGTAGGTCAAGAAGCATAGCCGGCTGATGAAGAAGGCGCAAGGCCTGACGGTGGCGGACCTTGCTTGGCTAGTGGCCCAACGTGCTTCCGAGTGAACGCGGCCAATTGCAGAACCTTGGTGAAGCCATGCAGGGGTGCAGCACTTTGGGTTCTACGTCAGGGTGCTCTTTGCGCAATGGTCTCTGCGATCTTGCGACCGGGCGAAGCCCGGGTGTGGACGCATGTGTCACTTCGCTTCTAAAAGAAGCAATGGACCGTTCATTGTACACGCACGCTTGCTGTAACTGAGCTGGTGGCGTGACTTGAATCAAAAAAGGCCACCGTATGAATGCGCGCTCCTTTCAACCATGCTGGCACTGCGAGGGGACATGCTTTGGAAGCTGGAAATTAATAGTTTTCGTGGCCTTGAAATTGGTACCCTGTCGCAGTCACGCCTTTTCGCCGCAGCATTTCCGAAGCCTTCCGAGTGCTAATCACAATGGCAGGGATGAAATCGGCGCAGGGCATTGAAAAATAGGCCCATGCCTTCCGAATGCAAATCACAATGGCAGGAATGAAAATAGGCCCAAGCAGTGGCCAAATAGGCCCAAGCCTTCCGATGGCAAATCGCAATGTCAGTGATGAAATAGGCCCAAAGATTCTCTGAAATAAGTTATCTTTTAACTTTTCTCTTTAAAATTCAGAGACTTCTTGGGCCTATTTCTGCCCTACCATTAGGAATTGTTCCCGAACGCTTGGTCCTATGCTTGGGCCTATTTCATCTCTCACATTGTGATTTGTGTTTGGAAGGCTTGGGCCTATTTTGGCGACTTCTGCTCCCTACCATTAGGAATTGGCCTACGCCCTTACCTTTTTAAGACATTGAGACAATTGTCCCCCACCATGAGAGGACGAACGCCAAATCCTCCTCTTACGCGAGTTCTCCGACTTTGAATCAACAGCAAAATCACACGAGCCGCTATGTCGCCTGTTGGGCGATGGCGAATGCAGTGACCACTTTCAAGCCACCCTCCTGAGAAAGAGTTGACACCCCAGACCTGGCAATTCAATAGGCTACTCTCAAAACAGTCTTTTCCCAAAACAAGCCACATGGATGTTTCCTGTTACACTTCTTCACTACAAATCCCCCATGCCCCCTTGTAATCAATGTTAGTAAGCGACATGGTTGCTGTTTTACATCTCCAGTACAACTCCCCCATACCCCCTTGTCATCAATGTTACTGTTACAGATGTTCTGAAACAAAGCGGCCACCCCCAAAACACGCCTTCAACATTGCTTTCATGGGGGGTGCGGGGGACGTCAGTGTTCAATCACGGAGCTTGGTACTTGAGAAAGAGACAGCTTCAAAACTTGTGACTGGAGGTGGGCTTGAGAATTTGTAATTGGCTGAGTCTCCGCGTGAAAATTATAAGTAGCCGGAGGCATCCGCAAGTGTACGGAAGAGAAGGAAGAAAGGAAACATATTGCAGGCGGCTGTCAATTCGCATCAGGTCACACCACATGATTCTTATGACAATTAAAGCCAGTCTCTTTTCCCTTTTCCAGCAACCCGAACAGAAGAAGGAGCAATTGAAACCGGGAATGGGATTCCATGGGGTCTGCGATTGGTGTTCTATATTGTTTCGGAAGAACAAGCATATGTTATGCTACAATCGGGTGCATCGGCGGCCTAGAAAACGAGTCCGCGTTCGCAGGCCTTTTGAGGCTTCAGACTCTCGGGCCCCGGTTGTATATATATATACACACATGTTTGAATGCATGGTTCTATTTTGTGAGGATATGACAAAGCGGTGGAGAATGTGTGCGTGCAACTCGAAGCAGATGCATTTCTCAGCTGCGCAGCATTGCAGGACAGTTTGGATAGCCTATTTATAGCTGTGAGCACCGTACTTTTGTTGGTTGCTAAGAGGTTTGACAAAGACTTTGCCCTACACCTGGATTTGCCTGGGAACGAGATAAGGGCCCTCAAAGAAACATAAAAACATAAGATAATTGCCTCACGTTTTGTTGTGATTGAAGCAAACGTGTTTCAGCCATTGGACTCGTAAGCTTGGTTGCATGCTTCGGGCTAACCCTTGCATACTATCTTGTTTTTTTGCCCCAGTGTTATTTTTTCTCGGAGGTTGAGTGTGGCAGCTCTTGAAAGCCCTCCGCCCGCCCGCCCGCCCCACATTTTTTGAAGCGCAAGTGCTGGGTTTGTAGTGCACGCTGCTGGGGCGCGTGCCCATGTTATTTCAAGCAAACCCAAGTACTTGGGGGGAGGTGTGGGTTGCTGAGTGCACTGGCTTGGAGCCGCTGCCCCCAGCAGGCTAGCGAGATCCAAAAACAATAGCACAATCAATCGTAAATACCTGAAACCTCTAAGAAGAGATTGCACCAGACCAGCCTCATTTGATTGCACCGCCCGCTAATTTGATGCACAGGCTGCGTTTGTTGGGTTCCTAACCATCAGCAGGAGCAGAGGTGTCATGTCAGAGTCAGAGACGCACAACTATCATCGACACTTAGGACATTTTAGAACAACAAGCTCCAAGATCACACAGAGCATGCAAGACGCTGAATTTCAACTGTTGGCTTAACACTCCATCAACCAAACTGTGGATTGGTGCCTTTCAGCCACCAGGATCTGCGACAACTACCGGTAGATGTGTTTGATACATTGGAAGGAACCTCAGACAGATGAAGGTTTCCTTGTTCTGGCAAATGCTGAGTAGTTGTGTGTGTGTTTGGAAATTGGTTTCCTGGCATCATGTGATTGGACGCCCGCCCATCTATACCGCTACATGATCGAGCCACTCAGGAGAAGAGACTCAAGAAATGCAATCAAGTCAAAGACCTTTTTTGGGAGCACTTGGAACAAAGCCCACCAGGCGAGATTTCAGATTTGCCGTATGTCCAATGGCATTTGGCACGCTTGTGATATGTTGTTTTCGATAAATTATCGATGTTGTTTTTAGGAGTGGCTTACTTTACATTTACACGAAGCAAACGCCTACAACAACGAACAACCACGGCTTTGTGGTACGTAGTTTGTTTAGAGCTTTGCCACTTGGCACGCTAGCTTGCCTAAGGTTATATAAGTTTCCCTAAAAATCTAGGAAGCAAATGAATAGAAGCGTGAGCTATCCTGCGTCCATGCTAGTAGCTTAAGTAAGGTATTAGTGACTCCCTAGCTTCTACTAGCTACCTCTAGGTACTACCTCCCTCTACGGCCTACCCCCCAGGCTTTAAAAGGAGAGACATATGTGGTTGAACTTCAGATTCTCCAAGAAGCATGGACCTCCAAGAAGCATCGTGTCCTTATCACAACGGGTACCAGGCATCGTGTGGACATTTGGAGCCCACCATGCTCCAAAGTCGTGTGAGCCAGATGCTTCGACTTTAGCCAGACAGCGCATCAAGCAGTATCAAATGCAATATTGGTTACCACAATACAGTTATATACGACCAGCAGATACCAGCAGTTTGTTTTGGTTTCACCTTGCTTCACTTGTCCTACAGTTTCAAGGTTTTTTGGTAGCGGCTGTCTGAGTTTGTTTGGCAGGGTAGTGGGCCCAGTACGTCAGGATTATGTTCAAAGGCCCTTTTTGTACATTTGCTAGATGTCTTTGAGAGCTTGTTCCGCCCAGCCGCCGCTCTGGTGATGCAACCCTTGGCAAAGCAGATATGTATATAATATTATATAATTATCATCTCCCAAACACCCTGACCCCTAGCAAACACATTGGAACCATTCGTTTACCAATGAGCGGGGTAAAGCAACAAAGAATAAACTCGATTGTTCTTTCAAGGATGGACCTGACCTGGCATCAAACTTGATTTGCAATGGTTGGGCTGGAATTCTGGTGGAAGGAGCGAAAGATTGAATGAATCCAAGGGGCGTGAGGAAATTGTGAAGAGTTCATTGTCAAACGTTTTGTGAACATGCGTCATGTGATGCATCGCGCACAAGTAGGCACTTCGCCAGGACACCCTTCACGTCGAGCAGTGCTTCAGAATCTCTTCGGGCATCGTCATGAGTTGGCGACTTGGTCTTTTTCTACCCGGATGAATTGTTAAATTGGCTCCAACCAGGCCAAGAATGGTCAGAAAGCTATAATTATCACCAGGAAGCATGTGATTGTTCGGTTCCTAGTTTCACATATATATATATATGGGTACCCATATATGGTTTGTGAGATTCTTGCGGCTTTCCTTTCAGTGGCTACCAATAGCCACCAGCTGAAGACATTCACGATGAAGATGCGATGGCGTCGCACAGTACATATTTCAAGACCGTCCTTTCCGCAGTTTTTGTCTGCCCCTTGTTACGTTTCGACCCAGTCAAGGTGATCTTGTCACAACTGGCAATGAGGGATACCGTTGGAAGCGTTTTGGAGGATGCCACCTGGAACAATCCACAGCTCAGGAATCAGGAGGTCTGCGAGATCTGACCAGCTGGCTTGTCGGAACCACATGTCGCCACATGTACAATTGCAGGGAGGTGGATAAGGGGTCATGGTATCCCATAAAACGTTTATGGTCCCTGCCCAGGGGGGCGTGGGGGTTGGGTTTTATAGAGGAAAGCTGCTTGTACCCTAGAAAATTTTCACCGGAGTCCCTCAACAGGAACACGCCGGCCCCGCTCCGCTCACGCCACCTGCTTGCTACCACTTGCTTGCTATAGACATCATGATTGGAAGGGTACTCAAAAAGTCAACTTTTTGCGGACCCCCTTTTTGAACACAGAATGTGGTAGAATATACACCAGTGCTGCCACCAGGAAAGATCCAGGCTCGGGCTACCACCTGCTTGCTATAGACATCATGCTCAAAAAGTCGACTTTTTGCGGACCCCCTTTTTGACCACAGAATATGCTAGAACGCACCAGTGCTGGCACCAGGCCCTGGAACCACCTGTGGAGGCAAGGCTTTCCTGACTTCTGTGGGATCGAAACGGAGGGATGGGTCTCTAAAAAACATGGGTGCTACCCCCTGGGTGGAGAATATGCTAGAACACATCGCCGACCGCTCACCGGAGTCCCGCAACAGGAACACTCCGGCCTCGCTCCGCTCACGCTCACGTTCCTGGGCCTAGACTGGGGTCGGCGGAGTTACAACAATTGCATCCTGCTATTTTCTACTGTAGTTGCCCTTTGTAAAACTATTGCGGACTCGAAAAGGGAATCCGTGATGCGGTTCCCAGGCGACCGGAGGCGCCTGCAACCGGAGTCTCCTATCTATATATAAATATATACCGCAATATATAGATTTCTATGTTGTTAAATGGCCTTCGGCCAGGTCCGCCACCCCAAGGAATCAAGGAGGCTTTGGGCTGTAAGAACAAAGCGGTGAGTGCCAGGATTGATATGGACAAGGTCCGGCACAGGGATGGGACTCTATAAAATCACTGGGTGCCACCCTCTGGGTGGAGAATATGCTAGAAACTGCTAGAAGCATTAATGCTGAAGCAAAGAGTTCTGTTAGCGCCCATCCAAGATCATGCAGGCGCTCCGTGCCTTGTTTTTATGTGTTTTCTTGTCACTGCTCAGGCGCATGGTGGCCTGAGGTTGAATGATTTTATAGAGAGCTATCTGGGGTAGGGCCTGCTCACTTTATACACCCTACGAGGTGACCACCACCATTTCATATCTATAAAGTCACTGTCAAGACCCCCCTATATATCCACAAAAAATCACAGAGATACAGTTGCTGAAAACGTTGCTACAATTGGCAAACATACAGCCACCTGCAGAAAATACAAACTGCCAGCGCTCCAATCAATCAAAATCATGCGTCGGGTTGGAGTGTGCCCCTCAAGTAGAGTGAGTGACAACGGTAACGTGTTGACGGTTTGGTAGGTGGATTTGCTGCAAATCACATTTGGAGCCAATGATTGCGAGATCATCCGTGGCATTTTGGAACGCTCATGTCTGAGCTGGGTTGTGTATGTGAATCAGCAGAGAGTCGGTCAACTTGGCCGATAAACAGCAATTGTGAAAGCCGATACGGGCATGAACCATTGCCATGCTTGCTGTGGACGAATCTTGGTAAGGGGGCTTCCGACCACGCTTTGTGCGTGCAATTTTTTGGCATCCTGTACCTCCCCCACTGGTTTATCAGCCTCGCCCGGTTCCCCAGAAGCTCAGAAACGTGCTTGGTGCTTTTAGCGATTTTACCTCGCAAGCCTGATGCAGAGAACCCTTGCAGTGCAACAATGTAACCAAATGTCTCCAAGAGGATTCATTGAAGCTGGATCATCGAGGTTTCTCGGCAACTGTCCTTTCTGTCGTTCTCATTAGATTTCTTGGGTTTTCCACTCAGACTGCAGGTGTGCATCGGCTTTTGGGAGACTGGTATGAGGATGCTTTTGAGGCTAGGGCCCAGAAGAAAGACGGGTGTCACTAGTACCGCAGCAACCAGAATCATCGAAGATTTATAACTCAACCCCAATCTAGGTATTTGCTTTTCTCGGTGGAATTGCTAGAGGCTGCCCATAAGCTTTGAGATTTGGCCTGAGCTATTGCTGTTCGGGTCCATGAATTGCGCGTTAGGCAACAGGGGAAGGCTGCTCGCTGCAAGCAGTGGCAGATTCATTGTTACTTGGCAATAATCAACTCAAACTCCATCCCGTATCCAGGACCTCTGAAATCAAAGCTCAAGTAGAATATATCTATCATCTATGTCTTACTATTGTTCAATCCCCTTTTATAAACTTGTACATTTTTCAGGAGTCCAACTTACTTATATATATATATATGTATGACAATGCCTGTCCCCTTTGTTATTTCATATGCACTTATTTTTCCATCCACTGCATTGTACCATTCATCTCCAGGCCTGATTTTGATCATGCTCATTGCATACTTTTGTGTCCCACAATTTTGCATCATTTGCATCAACAGATCCCTGACAAGCAAGCAAATGACACTTCCCAAGCTAAAGCTATATATAGGAGTTTTGTGAATGTGACCCCACACACAACAGTGCCCGTCAGGTCCGGGCAGACTTTACCTTGCATCCCGTCCACCTCCTCCTCCTCCTCCTTCTGCCCCTTCTCCTCACACCAACTCATCTCACACCAACTTGCCCACTCACCCATCCACCCACCCACTCACTCACGCACCGATGAAAGTATACGTTCACCGACGTACTTCGCATTTTTGCTCATCATCTGCATACACTCATCCGCTAAGACTCCTCGTCCTTCCGCTTTTGCTTCCACTTGTTATGAGCACAAAAGCGTCACATGTGGGTTATCTAGTCCCTTCTGCCTTTCAGTGGCACCACAGTGTCCGTTGAAGCCTACACTGTAAGGGTTCCCAAAGCTGAAAGGACAAGGTCAAATCCATAGGCAGCCATTGTTCTGCAACTTTTGGGCTATATACATGTGGGTGTCCCCTTGCATATTGAAAAGGCCGGCCACAAGATGCCCTGAGGACTGATCACTACATGTTTTGGGACTTTGATGGTCGTGCCTTGTCGCGTCACACTTTCACCGTTTGGCAAATGTTTTACCTTTGCAGTCGGGCAAAATTTGTCCAACCGTATTGTTCTCGACCGGTGGGTTGTTTGTTGAACAAGGCGATTGCGAGAAGGCAGGGAAAGAAGAGAGCGAGAGAGAGAGAGAGAGAGATCCACAGGGCGTGAATGGGTGCATTGCCTTGCGCACAGAAAAACGCATTTGGAAAATAAGGCAACATGTTGGGCAAACGGGTGGTTTTGCCCCAACAGCAACATGCACAGGGCTAGAAAAGCATCCGTTTTACGGAGTGTTTTGCCTTTCGGGAGTTCATGAACTCCAGGACAATGACTTGAGTGGATTTTCAAGACACCCAAATAAGACCAGGTCTGCTGTTCAGTCTCTCCCGCTTTTTGCCTTTCGGGAGCAAACATCAATGTGGACGTCCAAGAAAGGGGTCAGCCGCGAAAAAATCCCTCAGATGCTGATTGGGGGAAGGGCACTTCAAACCGGACAAACGCAACAAAAGTACTAACAACAAACACAAACAAACCTCAAACGTGGAGCCCACCTCTAAGCCGAAAGTGTAACGCGAGTGTCGAGTCACGAAGCCAAAAGCGCAACGCGAATCTCGATTTAAGCGAGTAAAACCACGAACGAAACGTCACGAAGCCGAAAGCGCAACGCGAATGTCCATTTACGCGAGTAGTAACACGAGCGAAACTGTCCCCAGCCCGCCCCCAAGAAAAAGACTTGTTGGACTGTCGGGAAGGTTTGCTTTCAGGGCAAATCCCCCCGGTTGTTCCAACATGCGGGGGGTGTTGCCCGGAAAGCAAACGTTTCCGACCACGGAACAGGGTTCTCCGGAGGGTGAGGGGGGGTTGGGGGGGCTGGGGACAGTTTCGTTCGTTTTACAGTGTTACAGTTCTAGTTGCGCAAACCGAACTTCACGTTTCTGTGCCGGCGTCGTGACGTTGCATTCGCAGTTAATTTGATCTTCGCGTTGCGCTTTTGGGCGTTGCGATGCGAAGCTGCAATGAGAGCACGTTGAAGGCCTCGCAGCATTGCGGTTCAGCCAACATCCAGGGTGGGACTCAATGCTACAGGCTGTGGAAATATATATATATACAGAGAGGCTGTAGCTCAAATGTACAGGAAGCTGCCATGACTCAATTAGGAAGAGGACTGATGTCGTGGCACATGGGACTGACTGGTCATTGGATGGTCTTCAATACAATGCACCCAAGTTATCGTGTTAGAGTTAGTGGACTCCAAGACGATGAGTTGAGTGCCCCAAAGCCCAAGATACCCTATAAAATTCATTGTTATCTGGCCCTTTGCACGTTGCAGTCCGCGCAAACACCCGCCGCTTACCCAACATGTTGGTATACCACGGTATATACTTGGCCTCACGTTGTGCTACAGGTTTATGATTGTGACATTAGAAGAAGGCTGCACTATGCTGTACTGAACTCCATTTGGGTCAATTCGGTGTGTGCTGCCAGCAGTGCCAACCCAAGCCACTTCGACGAGTTGGGCCCGGGTTCAGGCCAACTTTGTGCGCAAGGACTTGATGGACCTGTTGCCGACAGACCAAATTTTCAATGAAGCAGAGTTGGATCTCCAAGCTCGTTGGGCTGCAAGGCCCGCAAGGTTTCATCAGTTCCACCAGCAATTGGAAACGACCTGTGTCTCATGACCGCCAAGGATGTCAATCTCCATGGTCTGTGGGTCATTTGGCTTTGACCCACCTCCACATGTCGACAAGCACAACGAATGGCAACATATGGCAATATGTGGCCATCGATTTGTTCTGAGAAGTGCCCATACGCATAGCCTCCATCGCTGTACTGGTCTAGATCCTCCATGAAACAGCCAAGATTAGGTTTGTGTATTTGGATGTATTTGGTTGGTAGCACCTCGAAACGACTTGCAGGTTCAACAACACGGCGTGTTTCCTCAACAATCATGTGTTTGACACCTTGATGGTGGACCCGCGGTTGATGCAGGAACCGCCGGGAATGCCAAGCCATGGAGGGTGATTTCAAGATAGTAGGGTCACGAGTCACCAGATGTACCAATTCGACCGGGACCCCACCAAGCAGCGTCACTGTCACATAGTGTTACTGGTCAGCATGAAGCTACAAGCAACATCAAGCAACAGGAAAGGCTTTCCAAGCACAGGAAAGGCCAGAAAGGTGTCTAACCGCTCGAGGCCAAACTACCGCGTGAAGGGACCTGGGCTCATAAGAGACTGTTTTGCTTTGAAAATAGGGTGTCCTGAACAAGGAAAAACAATTGCAATATTTTAGGACAATTACACACATGCACTCACACCATGCCGTCACTATTTGTCTTGGAACATCTTGGAGCAGTTTTAACCACAAAGTGGACAGTTCAGGCCTCCGCATGATTCCCGACTAGGCTCAGTTTGTTTATTGCTTTCACACACACGCTATTGGAGGCATGCAGGTGCCAGCTCTAAGGGCAGTGTTGTCCAATCTCTGCAACAAACACCGGCTGAGATCCGCAATTTGGCGTTCTCCACGTTTTGGTCGTTTGTCAATCCACCGCGTAGGATCCTGACGCTACGCCCTCAGAGCAGCTCAGCTCGAATTATTTATATATATATATATGTGTGTGTATATATATATACTACTAGTAGCAGCGATGCCCTTGTTACTAGTAGCGATGCCCTAGCTACTGGTGATATATATATATATAAATATGTTTTTGGGTTCCTTGGCATCCATGGGCACAGCGGCACAGCATAGCGTGCAATCTTGCACTCTTGGCCTCTTTGGGCTGCTCCCAAGTGATGCATGACGTGGTTGGAAGGATTCGCCGAACAACAGCGTTTCATTCATTCGTTGCGGTTGATCATCCGGCGTGCGTCGTACGTGACTCAGGAAGCGCTTGCTGTGGGAGCTTCACTTGAAGACGGTCCAAAGAACGGATCAACTCTGGATCAAAAAAGCAAGCGATTGCTGGTGCATGCTAGTGGAGGAACATGGACAGCAGCACGGAAACTGTTGTAAGTTGCGTAACTATTGATTGGCCTTATATAAGCGTTTTTTGGACCTTACGTTGTGGTGGTGATTGCTCGTACTTGTAACAGCATAACACCCGCAAAGGAAAAGCAGCTTTGCTTGCTCAATCATCATGTTTACCAGATTCTCACATAAAATGTTCTTCTCACAACTATGCAAACTCACCAGCAAGGAAGACCCTTGGCTTTGATTGCGATTGTCAGTTGTCTTTCGCGAGCAAAAAGGTTCTCAAAGGAGCTACAGCATGTTGTGGCTTCACCGTACAGGGCATCCTGTTGCACAGGATCCTAGAAGTGAAGGTTGACGAGCCGCCCCTCAAGCTGTCCACAGACATGTCGTGATCCCAGCCATTTGTTGAGATGTGTTGTTGAGGATGTTGACAAAACCATTTCAATAATTGAGTGCATGCTGCTGGTCGCGCGATGTTGTTTAAGCCTTGGAGTTTGCTGAAAAACTCTCCTTATTATGATCGCCTCTCATGCTGTGCTGTTGCACCTTGGGAAGGTGCACTGATCTCGATCCAATGTGTGTTTGCCTAACCTGTTGTTATCCTTTGCTTTGGAAGCTTCTATGGTCAGGATGTTTGTTGTCGACGATTTAAATAATGCATCTTTTGCAGCTGAAGCCTTCCTGTTCCACAATCCTGCCATTGAGCTCACAGCTCACTTCTACCTGGCTTCAAGTTGCCACCAACCGTCTATGTCTTGGAACTCTTTTTCATAATCTACGGGTTTCTGTTGTTGCTTCGCTTGTTTGCATTCTTGACTCTGACGCTTAATGATGTGTTTGGCTTCATGTTGCCGTGTATAGTTTGCTGCTCATTTCTTTGAAGTACAATATAAAATATAACCTATATATACAAATACTGTGTATACATATATATATATATACGCATGTTTTCTGAAGGCCATGAGTTTCGTGCAAGTAGGTTCAGTGGCACTGTGTGGGCTGGATTTGCGTGGTCGCCTCAGCCAAGAATGCTTCCTAAGAGTAACCCAGATATCGTGAAGTCACAGAAATCCAAAGCAGCAACCCAAAAAAACAAAGTTGAAAGTGGGTGTCAAGTCCGGAGGAACAATCTGACTCGGACAAGAGATCTTGCACGCGATTAACATGTGAAGATGTGCTTTTGGTTCAGGGCTGATCTTGATTTGTGGCCAGACGCCTGTGCCGACTGCATCGGTAATGGTATCCGGAGCTTGTGCGATTTGGGCGCACTCCGCATTGCTTGCGTTTTGTGTCCTTTTGACCGTTGCTCGTCCTGCATTGGGTATAAGCTGCGCTTGGCGCCCTGACATTGTGTTGAGGAGGAGAACTCAATGTTGCCCTTGGCTTTACAGGTTGTTGACAGTTAAGCTGGCTTGAGCAGGGCTAGACCGGAATCCGTTTATACACACCTTTCATCCTTTTTTGCACGGCCTTGAACATCGAGGATGGCTGAGACAGATGAGAAAGGCAGCTCGGCATGGGACAAGGTGCCCCCATGGGACGGCAATCCAGCCGGATTCCGGGCATTCAAACGCGAGATGGGGTGGTGGCAGGTATTCTTGGACATTGGGTCAGACATGGTTGGACAGGTGTTGTTCGCGCAAGGCGCGGGGAAAGTCAAAGACATCAGAGTTAGCACAGGACACCCGAGGTTCGTGGAGCTGATCCCGATACAGGTGAGGAGATAGCTCTTGAACCGCCAGATCCTCCAGCGGGCGTTCGGAAGTTGATGATTGCACTCGAGGAGTCGAGGGCCACACAATGCTGGACCGGAAGGGGGGCACTCAGGAAATAGTTTTATTACACTGTACTTCGCTGCCGTCTCAGGCAGGCAACAACTCCTACAAATCCTCGTTTCCCAGTGGTTCGCAAAGAATTTTCCAATCAGCGCGCAAGGTTCCTCAGTGATCAGCGTTGATTGCTACCAATGAGGAGGTTGACGACGAGGAGATTAAAAAGAGCTTGTGTCGGCTGCTGGAGCAAGAAGGTCTTTGGCCCGATGCGATCGAGGGATTGGAGTGTGAAGTGGAGCAATACAGGAGATGAGTTCACAGTTCGGGCGCTCTAGACAGTGTTTGCAATCGGGCATGTCGCGAGACAGTTTGGTTGGAGCATTACGTTTGCGCGTTGCATCGCCTCGGGCCATCAGAGATTTGGCGTCGCAACGTCCTGAGCAGGAGACCTTCAGGTTTGGAGAAGACGGCAGGACACAGAAGAGGGCAGTTCGATTCAAATTGCCAACGCTTGCTGAAAAAGATCTTATTCTGACATGGGTGTCAGCGGTTCCTGTCGGAAGTTTGGGGTTTGTTGTTGGGGTGCCACTTTCGACCCCAGCTTTGTAAAGCAATCTTCCAAGAAGAAGACCAGCGGTCGATGCAACCCTTTAGAGCTTTGAGTACTGGTGGTCCAATGGTGAGCCTCATCAACATGTCCGAACAGCCAGGTTGGCATATCAAATACGGTGGATCGATGGCGATCCATGTGTGCAGGAACGCGGTCATACAGAGTCGCTTCTCGACGATTTGACCCCCAATCTTTATACCCTCAGAACACCAACGGGTGATTTGACCCATGGACCATGGAGGACGGGAGGATCCTGGAGGATTGCACCGCACCTTGAACGGAAAGCCAACATTGATCATTGATTGATTGGCGATCATGCTGCGGTCCTGGTCGCCTTGTTCTTGAAGCTCAAACCTCTGAAGTAACATAAGAAGGAGTTGACTGAACATGGGCTTTTAGCTCAGGGCGTTTCAGGGCTGAAACTGATTTGCGGCCGGGCTGTCACTGCTTTGCTTTAATTAGTGGCCTTAGCCTTAGCCACTTTACGCTCCGCAGTTCATGCAAATGGACCCCTGTGCCGACTGCGTCGACAACGTGGGTTGGGTGATTAATTGGCGCGGGCTTGCTGTTCTGCCTCGGATTACCTTGCCGTTGAAAAAATGCTTTTCTTCTCTTCTGTTCTACAGGCGTCAGATCGATGCCCACAATATTCCATTTTCCAAGGAGCCGGACCCTCAGTTTTTTGCACAGGTTTAACAGAATAAAGTCAAAGATCAAATCGTTGTACATGCAAACACCTGACTACTTCTGGGTTCGGGGCTGCGCCTTCAGGCTGCAGAATGACATTGCTGAGCAGCTTTACAGTGCCTTCAAGCAAGGCAACCGTACAAAGTGGACATAAATTGAGCTGGCATGGCAATCTGTCAAAATTTGTCATCCAGAGCTGCTGGTGCTTTGTGCTGAACCAGGCAAAGGACAACGCGACAACATCATCGCTCTCGAAGGTGCTAACTGGTAGGGTCAAAACTGGATTAAGATCGATGCTCTTAAAGGACAAAAAAGGATATGCGTTTGATTCGATACCCACAAAACCCACCCTGCACAAATGGATGATGTCTAAACGCCCTCGTGCATATTTTAACGGTTCTTTGAAGTCAACAAAAAATACCGCCCCAAAGACTGGTGAAGGCGATTGTAGTTTTGTTCGAAAAGGCACAGGAAATTGAAACCTTGATGGTACACTTGGTTTTTGGATCTTCAAGTTCGCCTTCCAGGAGGGTGGGGCAGCCTTTTTGTTCGTTCCCCTTTGTTGCAACCACACCATCATTTTTTCTCCCCAAACATTGCCAAGTATCGTCAAATATCATCTATGAAAATTCCGACAATTTTTTGCGCATGAGAATTTTGCACGTGTCCCTCGTTTCAGACACAAGAACTACATGTCCTACAAACCATGCCTGACCTTTGGCTCCGATGTGTTGTTCCATGCTGATCAACAGAGTGGTACAATCGCAATCGTCCATCCACTAGAATATGGACACATGGGGTCGTGAAAAATTCGCAGTCTCAGGGGGTTGTTGGCCCAGGGTTGGTTGTACGGTTTGACTCATTGCGTTGTCAGTGACTATTTCGAGATTCGGCAAGATGCAGGTGAAGATGCCAGCCTCGGCATGGGTAAGTATTTGTTTGAAGAGCGCCAGCTTCCTAAATTGACGAAGCTGAATGAGACAGAATTTAAGTCAAAAAGAATTCCTGTTTGTTGGAAAGAGTGGTTTGTGATGTGATGAATTTCAAGGCAATGGACAAGAACTTGGCACTTCATATGGAGCTCTTTCTGTCTCCGGAGCCCAGCTCTCAGTTCTGAGTGACATGAAGTACTGAACGATCCTTTATGATCCTTTATGATCCTTCCATGTCTGCCAGTGAGAACATTGCTAGTTTCGAGGAAGATGGTGGGCAAACTAATCTCACCATGTGGTTCAAGCGTGAGGTGTGGCCGAGTGACATTGCTGCCACTCATAAAGCCAGCATAGTCTATTTCCATTGCTGTTTTCACGCTTTCTTCTCACAGGAACTTGCAATTTGCCGACGAGCATGGCTTGTTGCCAGGCTTACCACGCTGTTCCTGCCATGGTGAACCTTTGGAACAATGCTCGCATGCAACTCCTTGGCAGGGGCCTTTATATAATCTGGCTTGATGCTAGCTGCTCCTTTAATGTGCACATTGTTGCTTTTGCTTCAATTGCGAGGCATGGAAGGCAGCAAAGTGCAGGTTCGCAGATGTTCCAAGAATGTTGAGATTATAGTATGCTAGTATAATACAATCATGCGAACTCAATTCCTTCAAGCAATGAGTTTCACAATGTTTGACGAATTTTGACGTAACATTTGTGTCTAGAGCTTTGCGCAGAAGTCACGAGGCATTTTCCACCAACTTGTCAGGTGTCCAGTCACCCTTTGCCGAAGACCCAACAGCTGGTCCAGGAAGAAATGTCTGGAGGCCGGAGTTGCCCAAGCTTGTGTGATGAACAGATTGCTGATTTGGTCCCCTGGTTTGAATTGATCCCCGGCTACTCTTAATTATTGCTTCAAAGTTTGGCGGAGGGTACAAAAGATTCACAAACTCCCAGCTCGTGTCAGCTCCAAAAGCCACGTGGAGCCCAGGAAGCCAGGTGCTGACTGACTTGTTCGTGGCCCTCACAGGTCAGGACCCGGGATCAGTTGCTAAAGCCTAATTCGCAAATGAATGCATATGAGTTTTTTTGGCGGTTGCTTTTTTGCACGGGAGAAATGAGAAAGAAACAAATGACAATATGGTGAGAGGGTGGATGGATCTGTGGCTCACTCCAAGCCTCAGTCACGAAGTCATACAAAGTCCCACTGCGAATTCGCCTTTAGAAGGTCGAAAGCGCGCACGAGTAGGTCGCACTGTGACGTTGGTAGATTGGCATTCTTCACGTGTGTTGCGTGTTAATTTTGATGCAATATTCAGTATATTCCTTGGACAAGAAAGCTTCTTTGAGTATCTTTTAGTCACTGAGTCACTGACTGGAAATTGGGAGTGGGCCGTTTACAGAGCTGTATCTGCAATAGATGTGTAGCTTCTACACTGAAAGTGTTGCAAAGCATGAATTGGTCGGTGTCAACATGTTTCAACCGTTTGAAGTAACGCTCACCAGCCTTTTGGCCAGAGTCACCCATTTTCTTTCGGTGCCTTTGTATTTCAGGTTTTGCGATTCAGTTTTCTGGTTCGCCTTGTGCAGTCATCCTGGCCATGGGCTTCATCCCTGCAAGCTTCTTGGTGTACCTTGTTCATGAGAAGTCTTCCAACGGAAAGTGCGGAGCACAGTTTGAAGAATCGCATTGATTGCCGTTGTCAGAGCCAAAAGCATCACAAACGGTGCGACAATTTGATGACCCACAAACATAGCCCATCAAGCACATTCAAGCTAAGTTTGGCCCTGTACCGCCAGGCATCAGCAACTTCTAACAGGTGTGGCATCCAGCGCTTCGTGCTTTTTGGGCCTGTGAGCCTCCAGCTGTGACGTATTTTTGCACAACATTGTAGGATGATTGGGCAGCATCCATCCAAGTGACTAAGCCATCAAATGTCATCAAATGAAACCATCCTGCTACACCCAAACAGGGCAGGTGTCCAAAGTCAATTACGTCCACAATGTGCGACAATGTGCGTTTCAGTATGTCAAGTTATCACCGCAAGCTGCTCCGGAAAAGTTTTGATGCAACGGTTTGTCATTATTAGTTTGGACACTGGCCCGCAGCATTTGCACAGAATTTTCCGCCTGCAATACCGCCTGCAGTTCCTTTACCGCAGGCGTCTCCCCACTGATGTACTGGTTTGGCAACTATTGTCTTGACCTGAGCTTCCTTCACGAATATTAAACTATAAGACACGTAGGTTTGAAAGGGATGAGCCAGTGACCCTTTGTTTTGCCTTCGGTATTTCTGGCTTGAGCGGCTTGGATAATTATGTTTCAATCTTTCTCCGCAAAGTGTGGCCACACCAATGGGTTCTTGCGGTAGTTGTTAAGGCCGGGTGTTTGATCGGAGGTTCTCATCGGCGTGACAGGCTAAATCATTGCTATTTACAGTACACTCATTCACCTAGAGATCTTCGAAGATTTTGACTGCACAGGCTTGCAGAATCATCTTTATAAGAGCGTGCTGGTGCTCTTCTCGACTGCGCTCTCATTGTGGTGCCGTGCACATTTTCAGGCGTGGTGGTCACTTTTTCGCGGTAGGCGCAAGGGAAGCCTCATGCTTTGATGGTCCAAAGTCGGCTTTTCGTGGCAGGTGCAGGAGATCGGAGCAGCTTCACTTCGATGTGCAGTTTTCGTGTCAGGCGCAGTATTTTGTGAACCTCAAAGCGCAGATTTTGTGGCAGGCACAACCTGGAAGTGCAGATTTCGTGGCAGGCGCAGCATTTTGTGAACCTCAAAGTGCAGATTTCGCGGCAGGCGCAGCGCTTTGTGAACCTGGAAGTGTAAATTCCGTGGCAAGTGCAGCTGTTGAAGCGCAGAGTTCGCAGCAGGCGCAGCCCTTTGTGAGCCTCGAAGCGCAGATCTCGTGGCAAGCGCAGCAAAAGTGCCTCCTGCATAGAACTCTACACCGTAGATACTTCTGGATTTCAAGACCCCTGGATCTCTCCATCTCAAGACTTCTTTGGTTCCAAGACCTTTAAATCTCTAGACCTCTGCGTCTCTCAAACTCTAGACCTCGAGACCTTAAGTGGCCTCTATGTCTAGACCTGATCTCCAGCCCTCTAGACTTCTACATGCTTTTGGATTTCAAGACCTGTCCGGATCTCAAGATCTTAGGCTTTAGACCTCAAGACTTTGAGGCGTCTAGGTTCTAGGCCCCGAGGTCCAGACATGTACATCTCTAGGCCTCTAGATTTTTTGGACACCTTGGCAAAAAGTCCACGCTGCACTTCGTTTTCGACTTGGACGAGTACCTCGTGAGACACTTGGTAGCGGAGCCTTGCGGCGCAGGAGACTCTTGGGCCCCGATGTTCTCGAACAGACTACTTGTACACAAAGAAAATGACCCTCGAGAAGAAGCAACAGGAAGGAGTGACGGCACGGCTTGGAAGCAGATCGAGCCGATCACTGAGCCAAGCGCTTTGAGCGCTTCTTCTATAGCCCCGCCCGCCGCTATGACCAGACGCGGCTGTCCTACTGAGAAGCATGGGATCAAAATGCCATCTGAGGTCGCCGGCTGGTTGATGTTGCAGAGGAGCGGACTGTCTCAGGATCAGAAGGCGCCACCTTTTGAAGAGCAAAGTGGAGGAAGTTATGTGCTACGTCAGGACCGTAGAAAGGTGGGGTTGTCGCAACAGCTTCAAGGAAAAGGGAAAGGCTACAACAAATGGAGAAAGCCAGCTCAAACCTAGCTGCACAAGACGTGACATCATGGACACCTTTGAAGAGACCTTCAAGCCTGAAGACGGATGCCTTCTACCTCGACCAGGATGTGGACTACCATGAGGAAGCCTTCCATGATGAAGAACCGGATGAAGACTCGTCACACTACAACAAGCTCAATGAGGACTACCCGGACCAAGGGGAAGAAGCCTTTGCGACCTACCTGGACGCCAGGCGCTGATTTGCCGAGAGGACTATCCAGCGGCGGCTTTGGCTGACGGCGCCTCAGCCTCACCACAAGCATCCTCAGCCGCAGTCCAACGACCACTACCTCCTCGAAGCAAAGGCCAGAAAGGCCAAGGCCAACGCAGCACACCTCAGAAAGGCAACGCCAAAAGTCGTGGCAAAGCAGCGCGCGGCCAACCAGGACACTTCTCTGCCCAATGCACCCAGAAGAGGGACCCACCCCGACCGACCAACCAACCAGGGCGACCAATCGGCAGAAACCTGATTGAAACAGGTACACCAACCATAGAGACGGGCCCGGAAAGCTCCGGAGAACCAGAACCACCACCAAGCACACAGGCGCGGCAGAGCGTCAGCAGGCACCCGCCACACACTGGCCAGAACACTCCCTTTACGCAACACGCAATGGCCAAAACAAGGTGTTGGCCAAGCGGCCGACCAGAGAAGCCTTTAAAGAACAACGCCCAAAGAAGAACAATGCCGTACCAGTCCACCAGACCCAGAAGAAGCCATTGCCATGTGCACCTGCAATGCCCTTGAGAAGTAGGCACGCCGGCTGCCGCCTTGAAAACGGAGACGACGCGACCTGCCAAGGAACACGTTCTTCGATCCAAGCGATCCCACAGCAGGCTGCCCACAGACAACCTGAACAAGCACGACCAGTGGAAACAACAGGCCAACAAGGCACGACAAACTCTGGGACCGGACGAACCAAGTTTAATGCCCTACCGGCCTAGACTCCTTGCGTGAGAAGCATTCTACAACATAGGCCAAGGCGGCCAGGACAGACGCACTAAATGGCCAACTCAGCACAGATGCACCAACACTCAGTCGCGAGGCCAGGAACTGCAGCCTGTCCATTTGCCCATGCGACGAAGGCTGGTCCAGCTTCAGCGCTGACGTTAGCGCAGCTTTTTGTTCATGGCAAAGAACGCCCAGGCCGCCAAGCGATGCACGTCACCGGAATCAGTGGCAGCGACGACGGTTTCTGGACATATTCAGGACATGGGCAAGACACAGACATGGGCCCCAAGACCAACCATGCTACGAGGCATCCTTCAATGGCCAGCCACGCAAAGTAGCCCACATGTTCAGGCCCTGACAAGTCAACTGGCAGGACAAATCAGCGGCCAACTTGGCTACTCTCAAGGAAGCAAACAAGCGCTTTTGCCTCGCCAAACAGTATGCTGACGTGGGACGCAAGTTTCCAAAGATTGGAGGTTTTCAGACATGAGCTTCGTCGCACGCAGCGATGCCGTTTTCGCCTTGAGACAAGACCTCACGACTCAAGGGGGCCACTTGGCGCCAATTGTCCACAACTGTGTGACCAAAGGAGCCGGTATCCACGTTGCTGTAGTCGGTCTGTGCGCTGGAATCGGTCTCTGTGTTGGAAGTTGCCGCGGTTCCTTCGTGACCAGGAGGTAGCGCAGAGATACCAAATCAGACATGTTGGCACAGTGCAACCGCCAGGGTGAAGCATGTCAAGAACATACGGCTGCGGCGGTTAAAGGTTGTGTTCTGCTTGACTTTTGGAGTTCAGTGGAATGCGCAGTGAGCGTTGCCGACTGTGTTGTTGGCTTGGTCAGCGCGCGACGCGCCTGTTAGGCCGTGTGTTCGAAGCCGTTTTGCCAGAAGACTTGCTGCGCTCTGCTTGGTCAGTCCGTCAGCGTGCTGGAGTTCCCATGAGATTGTGGCTCTTGTCTCTTGTCACAAGCGCTTCAATGCTCGTTTGCTTGTCTGCTTGTGAGGAGATCTACTGTCTTGTCAACAGGTCGCACAACGCCTTGGCATCGATCGCCAGCCGTGGTGGACGCTGTAATCGCTCTTCCAGCAGGTGGCTGCGCAAAGAAGTGAGCTGCTTCTGATGCTGCTTGGCTCTCTGCTGCCAAGCTCGACCTTGCGACTCTTCAGAGTTTCCATGATCTCCAGTGGGTCCAGCGGTCCACCTTCTCGACGTCCAAAGGCGATTCGAAAAAAGCGCTCAATGGCACATCGAGATCTACATGACGTATGATCATCAGTTTGAGACCATGAGGGTCAAGTATCAAGAAGAAGTGAAGGTGAGGGCGAGGAATTGCCTTCGCCATGCCATCCATGCAGACATCTACTGCGCCAACACCGATGGCATGCTCGAGTGTGGCACACACCCTTGCTCCTTGCAGAGTGTGCGCCCATGACCTCGGACAAGCCCTCTATACAGGAAACTCACGCTGGCCTCCCCTCCACCGATGTGAATATGGCGCCTCCATACACGTCATGACATGGCGCGAAGCCTTGCAACATGGGTTGAGGTCACTTGCACTCCCGCTTCCACTTGTTTCGGCACAAACCTTGTGCCCCTGTTCACTTTCCCCCTTCCAAGATGGGAGGGCGCGTCGACCACTGAGCCATAGGCTCGCTAGGAGCGAAAAGTCCGCGCTGCGCTTCGTTCTCGACTTGTGAGTACTTCGTGAGACACGTTCACAAGTTTGTGCTACCCAACCGTCAAACAATGATAAACAATGCACAAACAGAGCTGACTTATTTGTCATTGACATGTGCGAAAACGAGTGACTAGTGCAGACTTTGTGTTGAAAGAGGGGAACCTTGACCTATCGATGACCAGGCCAATACGAGGGCTGATTGTTGCATATTACATGATGCTTCGCCAATCAAAACTTGAAACCTTGGAGTCGAACGGGGTCCGGCAGAAGTCGTTGAAAAGTCCCAATGTCTTAATTTGGCCGACTTGTGAGGTTGGGACTTGGTGAACTTTTTGCTGCCCTTGGTGGTTTGCGTGCTAATTTTCCTCAGTTTTCAGGCCCCCGAAGCTTCTCAATTCCATGTTTGAGTCTTTCAAAGGGCACAAGCCGGTTGGCACCTGTTTGCAGGTCATGGCATATTCTGGAGACAACTTGCCGGCAATCATTGTGGTACTCTTTTTGTATGGAGCCTGCCATACTCCCAGCGAGTTGGCGCATACCTTTTCCGGATCGTGCAATGCCGCACGTAATACTTGGTGTGCGCGTTGCCCTTACAGCAGGCGGGCTCATGTGAGTCATTAAGGTGCATCAATTTGTTTGAGTGTTTTAAACCAGCAGGTGCCTCAGGGGCACTTCAAAGTAGATCAACAAAGAATAACAACAATTTCTGTATGTCCCAGAGTGCACCAGGCGCTTGCAGAGAAGAGCGATCAAGTCATGTTTGCACAAGGAAGTCTAGAGTTGAGAGGTTTGGAAGATATGCACAAGTAACGTGATCCACACTAGAGTATCTCGATTGGCGTTGAGTACAGTACTCAACGTGATCACTGACAAGGTTTCGTTCTTTTACACAGCGTGAACACTGTTCCACCGCAATAGGCTCGATGGGTCGGCGAGTAAATGAGGTTCCCATACATTCCCAAACAGTCATTCTGTCATGTGTGCATGAAGGCCAGTTTTTCTTAATTCAAGTGGTACGAACTCACGCAATGTGACTGCAAGCTCGACCAACATTCACCACATTAATGAACAAGAGGTGTTTGCTTTGATTTTGTTGCTGGGCAGCACCAATATTTAGGAATCGAGAACATTGCTTAGCGAACCAAGTTTTACGTGGGGCTTGCATGGAAACAAGACACATTGAGTGCCATTGACCATGCAGTGTGTGCTCCTCACAATGTGTTTTCCCAATGTTTTGCACACGGTTGCTGTGCTTTGCAGGATTGGTGGCAATCAATATATAGATATATAATTAGCTGAAATGGAAGAAACGACGATACAAACACAGGCTGAATATGAATGCTTGACATTAACCGTTCATTGCTTTCCCAGGTTTCAGGTTTGCTAGTACTTGATGGTTTTAGTGTTGGGCTTATTCAACCTAGGGCTAGCCGCTAGACTGTAAAGCCTTCACTATTTGGGACAGGAATGTGAATAAACGTATTTTCTGGATGCTCAGATGCTACAGTGCCTCCGTTGAACACTCATGGGCCATGATTCATTTGCCATATATAAAACCCTGCACATGCCATGTTGATGACCAACCACAAAGAGATCGCTTTAAGTTGGTTTGCAAAGATGTTGAAGAACTAACAGA